TTTGCAGTACTTTGTATAGCAGGTTTTTTTTTTTTTTTTTTTTTTTTTTTTTTAATCCGGACATGTACACCCATCCGGACAGGGATCTGGACAGGCCGATCCCGACATGTCCGGATTAACCGGAAAATACCAGAAATCCGGATGTTCGGATGAAACCGGGAAATCCGGTTTCCGGTGTCCGGACTTGTCCGGTTCACTTGTCCGCTGCTGCCATGGAATGAATAAACTATAAAATAAATCAGAAAAATGAGAAAGAAGTAGGGGAGTAAGATAATGCAAACTTTTAGAGAAAAGAAAAAAATTAAATCAAAGAAAAAGACAAAAGAAGAAAAAACCAGAAAAATTCGAAGTTGGGGGTGAGGAGGAATGAAAAAGTGATGGAGAAAAGAGAAATAGGGGAGAAAGAGAAAAAGATTGAAGGGGGAGGCGGGGGGATGATTGGGTTGTAGTTGGGGGAGGGAAGGGGGGGAGAGTAGGGTGGGAGAATGGGGGAGAAACTTCCGAGAAAGTGATAAGAAACGTGAGGAGCAGTAGAAGAGATTAGTAGAAGATGATGAGTGGGGAGGGTGGGGAAGAAAAAGATGTTGGAAGATGAGTGAAGAGAGAGGTAAGAGGGGGGGTTAGTAGTGGTAGAGGTAGAAGAGGTGATGAGATGGTGTAGGGGAGAGAGAGAGGGGTGTGTGGGAGAGTAGATTAGTAGAGAGAGATGATACCAGGCTCTTGGGTGTCCAAGAGCAACAGGGTCAGCAAGATCCACTGGAGAGCAGCAGGCTGAGAAAAAAAAATAATATTGAAATAATCAAGGGTTGGCTGAGATCTTGATCAGCCACCCTGATTGCACTGACGCGCAGCCCCCTAGCCAGGGGGGTCATCACTGCTGCCAAAGTGCTGCTGCAGCAGTAGTAGAGATCATCATCATCATCTGGGTGGGCTGAGATCTTGTTCAGCCACCCAGGTCTGCCTGTAGTGCAGCCCCCTAGCCAGGGGGGTCTTCACGGTCCTCAGCAAGCTGCCACGTGGCACTGCAGATGGCCACAGGCGCAGGCAGCAGCAGCCACGATGCCTCCGCAGGTGGGAGGGAAGAGGGGGGGGGCAAATAGCTCGTTTGGAACTGTTCAACACAAACGTTCCGCACTACAGAGCCATGGACACAGTTTGGCCAGTGTGCTACAGCAATGGCCACAGGCGCAGGCAGCAGCAGCCACGATGCCTCCGCCAGTTTGGCCCGCTGCATGGACTCTGTGACTAGCCGGGGCCAAAGGAACTGGACTGATGCTCCCCCGAATGGAAATGGAGCCAGGACCATAAGGATCTGTTTTGTGTTAAAAACAAAAGCCGACTGTATCAGAGCCCCAGATCTGCCCCGGCACCCTGCATTTTCTGGAGAAAAACAGACCGACTGAGACCGACTGTCTTGTTGGAGAAATGGTTTAGAGTTGATGCTTGCCCACCTCTCTCTCTCTCTCTCTCTCTCTCTCTCTCTCTCTCTCTCTCTCTCTCTTTTTTACATGTGCAAAACTTCACCCCATACTGTCCACTGGCAACGACTCTTTTTCGTGTGTTCTGTCCTGTTGCAGGGTTTCCTTTCACCATTTTGAAAAAGCATGAAAAAAATTCGGTTCCACGCACCTACAATCCAGTGAGGGGTGTTGGTGAGTATTATGAACGGTGAGGGGTGTTGGCTAGTATTATGACCACGGTTGAACTCACCCCAACTAACCCCAATATTGATTGCTAGGTAGGCTACCAAAACTGTCAGCACTAGTTTGTTAGCAATGCGAAACTCCCGAAAACTCGCGAAAGTTGGAGAACCTGTGGATGTGCAGAAGTCCATCGTGTGGTTTAAGTTGCATGTATCATGAAAGTGCAGATACAGAAATGCCAGAAAAAGCACAGTGAAGAGGAAAAACTTCCCACCGTCTCCCCTCCTTTAAATGTTCATTACTTCATCGCTGCAACCTAGAATGACAGTGTTCTCTGATCTTAAGTTGGTGGTAAAGTGCTTACCTGTACATCCCAGACTGGGTAATTATGCCCCTTGTAGCAAACCAAATTCACATTCAGCTCCACGCTCCACAGCCTCACTAAGACAAGCCACATTCCATAGGTGGCGACAAGCCAACCAACAAATAAAATACATCAGTCTCCTCTCTCTCTCTCTCTCTCTCTCTCTCTCTCTCTCTCTCTTCTCCCCCCCTCCCTTTCCTCGGTGTCATAATTGACCAATCAAAGACAGGATCTGCTGGCCAATCACCAGTGCATGCAAACACACACACACACATGGGGATGCATCCTGGAAACGGCAGAAGCAGGAGAGGAAGAAGGAAAAAGAAAGGTTTGTGATGAGGAGGAGAAGGAAAAAGCGAGGATTAGGAGGGTAAAGAGGAAGAGGGGACGAGACGCAGCAGAGGCCGAAACAAGAGATGAGGAAGAGGGCGAGAGGAAGGAGAAGCAAGTCAGCAAGTCGACTTATGCCAATCATGAGATTGTGTTGTTCATGCACATGTCTCATTACTAGTCGTTGACAGGTTTCTCTGACCTTCCGGGCACCAATGCCAACCAGCAGAGGTGAGTTAATCTCTAGCTTCTCAAGACACTGCATGTGGTACAACATCAGAGGGCCAATATCAACCTGCAGAGGTGACGTAATCGCTGGCTTCTCCGCCAGGTTACTCACACATGTAGAGATCATGTGTGTTGCAATACCAGAAAGCGAACATTAACCAGCATGAGCACAACTTAATCTCGGGATGGACTTCCACCGTGCCCACATGTTCGACAATCCAGGGCCCTGCATTGCAGTCTGTCAGCTATTCTTCCAGCATCTGCCGTTCCTTAAGGTCAGGATTTCCAGGCTATTCTTTAAGCTATTCTTCCATAAGCCATACATATATAGCCTGCCCCAGAGCTTTCGTCAAGGGAAGAGCCTAAGGAGAAGATCAACAGTAACAAGTGCTGAAGAGCTTTTGTCAAGGCAAGACCCTAACAAGAGGATCGCCAATGGCAACAGAGAGACAGAAACAAAAGAGAATAGAGGCCAAGGAATCTGCAAACATACTCGACATACTGGAATTTACACGTGACTGTTCTACCTGTGAGTTGTTTTCAGATGATAAATGCCTACCTGTACAGTCTGCTGACGAAGACAGAAGGTACTTTGAGTCCGGACTGAAATCAAGTCCGTAAACTGGCCCAGTGTGGCCCAATAACAAGGCATAGGTGCGCCCTTTCTGCCCATGTGCAATCCTCTGCGCCTCAACAACGGCATCACTGTCTTTACCTCCTGCCTGGCCATCGTTTGCATTTGCATCTCCCCCGCCGTTCTCAGACGGAAGTATCTGAACATCTGAAGAGATGGGGACATGAACCCAGCATATCAACAGAATTCAGAAGAAATCAGAATAATGGTTGCTTTTGGAAGTACTCAATGCCCGCACACTTGGGTCTCCCAGCCATAATGGGAAGAAGCATCGGAGTGAGTTCACAATGTCATCTCCTTGACTTGCCAGTGGAATAGGAACCACACTGTAACTTATATGCATGATTACTTTCCAGATTTTCCAGATGTCGATAAGGTCATCCAGACCATCTGCCCATCTGGGTTCAGATGTCACGGTCTGGGATCTGGATGCTGTCCCAATAATTTTCAGAATATAGTACTTTCCAACTAAAAAAAAAAAAAACTTGACAAACGATATGTTATGCAGTGTTGGAATACAAACGACTTTTGGGAGAGGGTCATCTGGAAATTCACAGCCAAATACAAGGAAAAACAGATTAAAAAAATAAAACACGAAAATACTTTTTGGGTGGGTGGGGGTGGGCCATCCTTTGTCCGGAAACAATACAGACGTCCGGATGGCTATGGACCTCAGTCCGTCCAGGTCTGGGTTCGGAAACAATGCGAATACATTTAGAGTTAAACTGTGGTTGCGGCGCACCACTGCGCAAAGCGGGAGCTGCGGGCGCTGCGCCAAAAAAAAAAAAAAAAACATTTATTTGCGCCACAGAGAGAGAGAGAGAGAGAGAGAGAGAGAGAGAGAGAGAGAGAGAGAGAGAGAGAGAGAGAGAGAGAGAGAGAGAGACCAAAGGGCCCCCTTTACATCAATTCAGGGGCCCCCTTTACAGTAATTCAAATGGCTCCGGCAATGCACATTGTGGAGCCATTGAGGACCATGGCCTCAGCAAGCAGGATGGCCACGTCATATACGGAAGAGGTACGAGCAGACCACCAATATATGCTGTGGGTTTGAGTTCAGGTCTGTAGCTCGGGGGTTGTGGGTCACCAGTTCAGCTAGACCCTGTTTGTGTCTCCACATGATTCTCAGGGCCTAGCTCCACCTGGAATAACCCGCTCAAATATGCCTATGTCGTCGGCCAAGGGAGAGGCCATCCGCGGGCCACAAACCGGCCTCATGGCCCTGCGTCCGACTGAGGAGAACAGTGCCCCTGAAAACGAGGCTTCAGAGGCCCTGCGCCTGACAGTTGACAGAAGTCGACTGTAAATTGGAATATTGAGGCTCACGAGCCAGGCCACCGATCAGACACACACACATGGTTGTACGCAGGTATCCAGGCAGCATTTGGTCCAAGCGGTAGTCTGTAACTGTACGAGATCCAGGCCGTCGGTTGTGAGTCAATCTGAGCCTCCGCACGTGAGAGACCAGAGCCTGGTCAACGATGTCAACATTATTTATTGACCCAGCCCCTGAGGGTCAACATTCAGTCTTGCACTTGCTGCTTGACGCTGGCACGACGCTGGCTTGACACTGGCAAGACGCTGGCTCTTCGCTGGCATTGTGCGGTGACGGCGCGAGACTGCTGCTTTGCGTCTGGCGCCCTTCTGCTTCTGGGCTCCAGCTGTCTTCTTGGATGCTGACGTGGCAATTACCACGCTGTCTTCACCATTGCTGACATGGCGCATGCAACTGTGTCTTCGACACAGACTGGGAATGCGACAAGGAGGAAGATCAGGCACTGTGGGGATTGATTGACTGAGAGGGGGGGAAACTTACCTGTTGATGCTGTCGACGTTGCGCGCTGCAGAGACGTCTTCATGGGAGATCTGTGCCACGTGGCACTATGTTGTGATCAGATCTTGTCAGACTCCTTTCTGGGACACTGTTTGCTGACGTGGATGTGGGGAGACGCCCGAAGAAGAAGTGGGGATTGAGCTCCCTCCTATCTACTTCGTCCTATGGTTACGAGACATTGTACTACAGATTACATTTCACGATTATTGGAGACATTTATCAGCGCTGAGACATCTTGTATTTCGACCATACTTGCGGCGCACGTCGTGCGCGGCACTTGCGCACGTGCAGCACAGGCCGCAGCGCGCAAGTGACGCCCGCACGACGCGCGGCGCATGGTCGAAATTGCAGGGTACCAAAAAAAAAAAAATTTTGTCGGTTCGGTTTTCGGGGTTTGGGGGGGTCCTAGGAAAATTACGATAACGGGCGCGAAAATATTTTTGGAGGCCGCGCGAAGGCCCGTACTTCTTTTTTTTTTTTGAACAGTCTGAACCTGATTCGAAGTCTGGGGGGGGGAAGTCGGTTCTTTAATTTTGTTGTTGGACTGTCCCCCCAGCCCGCCGTTTTTCCTGGAATTTTGTTTTTAATAAAAAGAAAAAAATGTAAGGGAAGAAAATCAGAATTTCTTTGCATGAGTGTCGC